GTTTACTTCTGCTACCATATATCTAGGTGGAGATGCAAAACTGTGGTGGCGGACGAAGTATGTTGATATTCAGGCCAACAGTGTCCGTATAGATTCTTGGGATCTCCTCAAGGAAGCGATCAAACCTCAATTTTTCCCGGAGAATGTAGAATATCAGGCATGACGTGCCCCACAAGAACTGAAACATACAAGCTCCATCAGGGAGTATGTGAAAACCTTTTCAGGACATATGCTGAATATTCAAGATATGTCGGAAAAGGACAAGCTATTCACCTTCATGGAAGGGCTGAAACTGTGGACATGCATGGAACTTCAGAGATAGAAGGTCACTGATTTGAGCGCGGCCATGGGAGCCGCTGAATGCTTAAGTCATTATCAGATCGAGTCGAGAAAAGAGAGACTTTCAGGGAATAATAAAGCTATTGGAGGTGGAAATAGACCTTACAGACCCAACTCGAACTCAAATGGGGGAGAGCGTTACTCTTAGAATAAGGAAGGAGCCTATCGAGGTACCTGTCAGAGTAACTTATAGGAAAACTACCAAAATAGCCGTCAAGGAAACTATAACGGTAGCAGTAATAACAACTGGAGCAAAGGAAAAACAACGAAGGGCAATCTGATGCCATTCCTAAATTGATCTGCTTTTTATGTGAGGACCTCATCGGGTGGCAGAGTGTCATCAGAAATAGATGGTGAATGCGTGCTGTCAACTAGCGAGAGGCGGGATGAGTTCAAAGCAAGATGTCCCACAATCTAGCCATTACGGTGAGACTGACTCCAAAGAGGATGAGGATGTAGTTGGTGCATTCTTACATCGGTGCAACACACTATTGCACCGAGTTACTAAAAAGGATGATGTCTCCTCAAAAGAGGTAAAGATGGAAGAGTCGCGGCTCGCATTTGCAGGGCCAAAGGCCTAATGTGTACATTGATGTGAAGATCAATGGAAAGTTAATCAGGGCCATGGTGGATACGTGTGCTACCCACAACTACCTCGCAAGTATCGAAGTGGAGCGACTCATACTTGTTCTAGAGAAATGTAGTAGAAAGGTCAAAGCAATTAACTCTGCTGCTCAACCAAGAGCTGGAGTAGCGAAATCTATATCAATCAAAGCAGGTCCTTTCGAGGGAATGACAAACTTGTCTGCAGTTCAGATGTCTGATTTCAAACTCATTTTGGGATTGAAGTTTCTTCGGGACACTAAGACAGCAGTGCTGCCACACGTCGATTCGTTAATGAAGATGGGTAGTAAACCGTACGTCATCACGACACAAGCTAGGAAGATGGGCAAGAAATGAACCCTCATTTTTGTGTATTCTTCGATAAGAGGAGATCGAGGAGGCAACTAGTCCTATTCCAAGGCCAGTCAGAAAACTTATTAAGAAATTTGAGGACATCATGCAGGAAGAGTTACCAAATAAGTTGCCACCAAGAAGGGCAATCGATTATGAGATTGAGCTTATTCTTGGTGCCAAACCTCCTACTAGGGCACCTTACCGTATGTCTCAGCCGGAGCTTAAAGAGCTTTAGAAACAATTGGGAGAAATGTTGGAAAGTGGGATTATCGTGCCCGCAAAATCACCATTTGGAGCTCCAATGTTGTTTCAGAACAAGGTCGACGGTTTTCTCAGAATGTGCTGCGACTATCGAGCCCTGAACAAGATCACTGTAAAGAATAGTTATCCTATTCGACCCACTGAGCTGGGCGAGATACTATACGAAGATTGATCTTAGATCTGGATACTGGCAAGTTCGGATTAAGGAGGGAGACGAAGCAAAGACCACGATGGTAACAAGATATGGAGCCTTTGAATTAAAGGTCATGCCTTTTGGCTTAACAAACTCTCCAGCAACGTTTTGTACTATGATGAATCGGTACTTCACGGGTTCTTAGATTATTTTGTGGTAGCGTACTTGGACGACATAGTAATCTACATCGAGACATTAGAGGAACATGTGCAACATGTAAGACAGGTTTTCAATTGATTGCGAGAGAATGAACTGTATGCCAAACGTCTAAATGTTCATTCACTCAAGCGTCTATCAGTTTTTTGGGCCACATCATCGAACATGGTAAAATACGCATGGATGCGAAAAAGGTTACAGCAATCAAAGATTGACAACCACCAAAGAATGTCCATGATGTGCGATCATTTCTCAGGCTATGCAATTACTACCGAAGAT